CCTGTCAGACCAACCTGGTGGCCTTCTACAACCAGGTCACAAAATCCTTGAACGCAGGTGTCATGGTGGATGTAGTCTTTCTGGACTTTAGGAAGGCCTTCGACACTGTCTCTCACCCCATTCTCATTAAAAAATTAGGAGACAATGCCTACACAGTCAGATGGGTCGCAAATTGGCTGGAGGACCGCAACCAGAGAGTGGTGATGGACGGGTCTTTTTCGACCTGGAGGGATGTGGGCAGTGAGGTTCCCCAGGGCTCAGTACTCGGGCCCACACTGTTCAACATCTTCATCGGTGACTTGGACGAGGGGGTGAAAAGCACCTTGTTCAAATTTGCGGATGACACTAAGATGTGGGAAGAAGTGGGCATGCTAGAAGAAAGGGACAGGCTACAACTAGATATGGACAGGTTACACAGGGGTGGGCGGATGAGAAAAGGATGGAATTCAACACTGACAAGTGCAGGGTACTGCACCTACGGAGGAAGAACCATCAGCATACCTCCAGGCTGGGGAACTCTCTTGTCAGCATGGAGGCAGAAAAGGATCTTGGAGTCAATAATGACTGCAAGATGAACGTGGGCCAACAGCGGGGGGATGCAGTCAGGAAGGCTAACTGCACCTTGTCATGCATCTACAGATGCATCACGAGCAGGTCCAAGGAGGTGATACTCCCCCACTATGTGACACTGGTCAGGCTGCAGTTGGAGTACTGCATCCAGTTCTGGGCGCCGCACTTCAAGAGGGATGTGGACAGCATCGAGAGGGTCCAGAGGAGGGCCACTCATGATCCGGGGGCAGCAGGGCAGGCCCTATGAGGAGAGGCTACGGGACCTGAACCTGTTCAGCCTCCAAAAGAGAAGGCTGAGGGGGGATCTTGTGGCCTGTTATAAACTAGTCAGGGGAGATCAGCAGGCATTGGGGGAGTCACTGTTCCCCCAAGCACCGCCAGGAGTGACCAGGAATAACAGTCACAAGCTGGCAGAGGGTAGGTTTAGGTTGGACATCAGAAGGCGCTATTTCACGGTCAGGGTGGCTAGGGTCTGGAACCAACTTCCAAGAGAGGTGGTGCAGGCTCCTACCCTGGGGGCTTTTAAGAAGAGGTTAGATGAACACCTTGCTGGGGTCGTTTGACCCCAGTACTCTTTCCTGCCATGGCAGGGGGTTGGACTAGATGATCTGCTCAGGTCCCTTCCAACCCTAGAAACTATGAAACTATAGTTAACGATACAACATGATAAACACTTGTGGGTAATCAACTTATATAACACAAATAAGTTTATAATATTTCTTAGAACTAGCAGGTAACAATACAAATATGAATATTAACACATTAAGAACATATAAACCATATAAACTTCCTTAAAGAATTCCAGTAGCTACATAGACCTTGACACAAAAACAATCTCCAAAAATACAGACTGCACTCAGTACCTTACCAAGGGGTTTCCTTGGAGCATCACGCCTTCAGGTCCCTACCGATGTGAACATGTCCCTCCTGCAATGAAGGGTGGAGGGGTCAGAACCTCCTGTCCGATGCCAGGCTCACCTGTGGGGCCCGCTTCCCCAGCAATTCATGGTTCCTCTCTGAAGCAGCCTAAGCTCATTGCCTGGAGGCTGATTCCGTGAAAGCCTGTCTCCAGCAGTCCATTCGGCAGCCTGGCAACCAGGTTGGCTTCAGTCGCGCGCACTGTGGTGCCTGGTGCCCAGGTCACAGGTCCCATTCCTGGAGGGCTCTTCTCTGCTTCTGAGCACCTTACCAGCAGGTCAGGGGCTTCCACCTCCAGGCAGAATGTTTTCAGGATCTGGGACCAAGGTGCAGGACTGTGCAGCACCCCAGCACGCCAGTCCATTGGTGCCCCCGGGTATTGTGCCCGAGGGGACAAATGCCCGAGGCTGCATCCTAAATAGGGCCAGCCCAGCCCTGAGCAGCCCTTCGTGCCCTCCATGTTGTGTGCGGCTGGGGGTGTGCCTCCTCTCTCCACCGCCATTCGACTTCTCCCACTCTTTCCCTGGGGCCAGGGAGAAGTGGAATGGAGGTGAAGTGCTTTTGCTTCCTGTCTTTTCAGACTCATGACCTGAACAGAGCTGTTTGTTGCAAAAGGCCAGCAGCTTGTGTCATGAGCTCACAGGGCTTGTTTGCAGAGCTAATTGCCACAGAAGAATCCGGTTGGGGTGTTGTGGAGAAGGGGCCCGCCCCTGATGGAGGGATTGAGCATCACATTCCAAGCTGGAGAGGTGCTATTTTTTCCCCCTCCCCGGTCTCTTGTCCTAGAGGTGGCGGATGGAGCCCTGTGCCCCGAGGTGACGGCTCCAGGTGGTGGGCGAGCAGGGGGCTGATGTGCTGGGGCTTTCTTAGCCCAAGGTAGCGCACACCATTAACGCTGAGGGCCATGGCCAGCCCTGGCTACAGCACAGAGAAAGGCTTTGTTCAGTGTGTGATAGGCTCGTGGGGTAAAGAAGCGAGCAGGGAACCGAAGTTGCAAAGCAGAGTGGGGAGGACTTGGAGCGGCAGGTAGGTGACTGGGTTGGGATGCCACAATCCTGTCCCAGACCCTTGGGGAGCAGGAAGGTTCCTTGTGCCCTGGATGGCGGGGCTGAGCTGGCGGCTTTGCCTTTGCAAGGCACGGCCTACTTGGCAGCAGAGAAGGAGGAAAATGCCAAGCCAAAGTGGAGAGCTGTGCGGGGAGCAGAAGACGGCCGTGTGGCTGGCTGACAGAGCAGTCATGGAGGCTGGAGAGGATGCTGGAAGGTGTGGAGCCCTTGCTGAAAGGAGAGGCTGAGGGCAGACCTTAGGGAAAGTGGTGGTCCCTAGGGGCAGCCCCAGTTCCTGCTTCGTTGCTGCTGGGCCGGTGCGGTGTCAGGGGGAAGGGAAAGCAGCAAGGCCAAGGCCAGTGGGCGACCCTG